GACCTGGACACAGCCGCAGGGCCAGGCGGCCGCACGGCGGTAACACGACTGGACCCCATGGCAAGCTGTTCTCCCAGGACCTCCCTAGTGCGTGAGGCTCACATGTGTGCACCCGGGGTCGGGGCTGGCAGGGACTTGGGTGGATCGCAGTCCAAGGGCCCTACTGGGGTGCCAGTCCCCTCTCTGTCTCTGTCTCTCTCTCATGAGAGAAATAAGTAAATAAGCTTGGGACAACTCACAGCTGTAGGCACAGGCAGTCTTCCTTACCCAAGGCACAGTCTCTGTGATCGCCTGGGAGGAGCCAGGGCAGCCCAGTCAGAGGCCGCGGGCGAGGATTCTGCGGAGCGCCGCTCACTGAGCAGGGTCTGGCCGCTCTGACACACACGCCCATGTTCGCGTTAGCACGGGCGCTCAGGGCCGGTGGCTTCTCCCAGCCACCGTGCAGCGCGGACTCTGCGTGTAGGAGAGGTTCCTCGGCTTCCTCCCCTTTACCATGCTGTCCTGAGTGTCACACTTTGCACTTCAGTCACCAGACGTGATGCAGAAAACTCAGGAGGAAGAGGAAGCACCTCCGGTCCCATCAGAATCTCCCACTCTGGTGCCGACTGCCCCGCGTGGAGTCAGCAGGCAGACCTGGCCAGCCCTCTCCTGTCTCTCTCCTATCCTGGGCGCCTCCTGTCCTGCCCTGTCCCGTCCACCTTCTGTCCTTTCCTGTCCTGTCCACCTCCTGGCCTCCAGCTGGCAGCCCAGCCCTTACCAGCGCGGCCAGGCTTGCTGGTTTGGGGTGGAACTCCTGTGAGTGTCGCGGGAGACATGACCCTACCCCAGCCACTGTCCGCTCAAGGCAGTGGGTCAGGCCACCGGCTGGGGCCTGGGCTGCCGTTCAGGGCACTGGAGGCCACCCTGCTGCCGCACCATCCTCTAGGCCTCACCTGGGCTGCCTGCCTCACTCCACCTTTAGGTTCTCTTTTGGGCCTTTCTTTTCTTTACTTTTTAAACTTGATTTATTTCTTCCACGAGAAGACAAAGAAACAGAGATAGCACCCCCTTAGGGCCTCGATGCGTGAGCCCCTCAGCCCTGGACCATGAGTGAGCGTGTGCCTGGCACGCTCAGCAAGGTCTTGGAACACATGCCAGACCTTCCCGTGTGGGTGGGCCTCGCAGAGCGCCAGGGTGCCCGGGCCAGCCCTCGCTCTCCTCACTGTACCGCGAGAGTGGGAAGAGTCGCTCCCATGTGCTGGGACAGCTGCTCCACCTGCTGCACCAGAGCGAGCCTTGCCGAGGCCGGTCATGGTTCAGCGAGTTCCCCCCATACACAGGGCCGAGGTCTTGTCGGGGTGAAGAAGACATTCACCCCCACTGCCAGTGCCGGGTGGCCACACTCCCTCCCCAGGGAGCACGGAGGTCCTCTGCCAGCCCTGCAGCCCTCAAGGAACCGAGTCCTGTCTGTCCCTTGGTGAAGGACCAGGCCACCCAGTCGTGTAATAATCGCATCACTTTTCTCAGTCCTCCCAGGAAGACGGA